TGAGCACGGTTGACCAGCACCCAAGTGAGCACGGTCAACCAGCACCCAAGTGAGCACAGTCAATCAGCACCCAAGTGATCACGGTCAACCAGCACCCTGGTGAACACAGTCAATCAGCACCCAAATGAGCACGGTTGACCAGCACCCAAGTGAGCACGGTCAACCAGCACCCAAGTAAGGACAGTCACCCAGCACCCAAGTGATCACGGTCAACCACACCCTGGTGAGCATAGTCAACCAGCACCCTGGTGAGCATAGTCAACCAGCACCCAAGTGAGCATGGTCAACCAGCACCCAAGTGAGCATGGTCAACCAGCACCCAAGTGAGCATGGTCAACCAGCACCCTGGTGAGGACAGTCAACTACCAGCCAAGTGAGGACGGTCAAGCAGCTGCGATCCTAACTACAGCTCAGATTCCTCGGATGGAAACAGCCACACAAAGACTTTAATACGGCAAAGAAAGAGGGAGCTTCTAGAAAACAGTCTGTGACAAATACGTTCACTTCCTCCCAACCCACACAGGGTCCTAACACTGGTGGCTCCCGAGCCTCACTTGGGATTGGCGGGATTCATCTAGCTTCAAATCTAGGTGGTGCAGGGGGGATCTATGTGGCCCAGTGACGATGCCCCAGGGCGAGCACCTCAGCCCTGTCCTGTGAGCTATTCACACTCTGCTTAAATCCTTAACCAGCCGGCGCACCTGCAATCCCTGCCATCCCCGTGACTCAGAGGCTGAGGCAGGAGGATCGCCTGATCGAGGCCAGCCTCGGCAAGTTGGCAAGACTCTGTCTCAAATTACTAAGAAGGGCTGAAGCTGGAGCTCAGTGGTAGGCAATCCCCAGTACTGAAACAGGAAAACACAACAAAACACGAAGCCCGCAATCAGGTCGCTCACCTACTCCTCCCCAGGTGTAAAGCTCCCCCCTCCAAACTGACACGAGGCGCCCCTCACCAGTGGGTTCAGGAGCTCGTGGGGCTCTCAGGACCGTAGCCCCCCTGGCCAGAGCTGGGTCCAGCTCCTTCCCTCACCCACCACTCAGGACCTGGGCACAGCGTGCGCCCTGCTGCTGCAGGAGGAGGGAGGCGGTGGGGGCACTGACAGGTCCCTGTGGTGGGAGAGACAGAAGGGGGCGCCCGGACGGCAGGTGTGGAGAGGGGTCCCTTACCACAGGGCGCTTAGCCACTGGCCACAGCCTCAGGCCTTTGAATTTTTCATTTAGAGGCCGGGGGTCACCAAAGCACTTAGGGCCTCGAGAAGTTGCTGAGGCTGGCCTCGAACTTGAGATCCTCTTGCCTCAGCCTCCCAGGTGGCTGGGATTCCCTGGCTAGTCCTGTAATTTCGGATTTTATAAAATGAACAGAATTCCAAATACAGATGCAAATGACCACAAAAAGGGACCAACAACAGCATGTGAATAGGACAACCCAGTCACAGCGGGGCAAAGGAACAGTAGTAACAGCTGTAACTGAGAAGTGGATGTCAACTGCCCTCTTCCTTGTGCTGGGGACCCCCAGGACTCCATGCTAGGGAAGCGCTCTCCTGCCGCAGACAGGCTGCTTCTTTAACGTCTCCGTCCCTTCTTTCATCCCACAGTGTCACGCCAGGCCCTGTCCAGGTACTGAGAACACAAGGGTGGACAAGAAAACCCCTGCTCCATCGAGCTCCCAGGCCAGAGTGGGTGGGAGAAAAACAAGCCGCCAGGGACCCTCGAGCTGCCCGGTGCTGGGAGCAGGCTTGCTCAGCAACAGGGCATGCACTCAGCCCATGCACAGCCCTGGTTTGACCCAGTACCAAAGCCAAGAGGAGAGAGGAGAGCAGAGGAAGGTCCTGAGAAGGGAGTAGAAATAGAGAAGGTGACATTCCTGGGGAAGAAGTCAGGAGTGAGCTCTGAAATATCTGGGGAAAGGCTTTCCAAGGACCAAAAGGCCAGTGCAAAGGCCCTGGGGCAGGAGCACAAGGCCTGGGCAGGAGCTGCCAGGAGGCATGCAGTCAGAGCAGGGGAATTCAGGGAGGGAGGGGGCTTCCCACCCCGTGACTCACTCCACAAAGGGACCTGGTATTTCCTCCTTAGGTAAGTGCCTGGGTCCTGTTTAGGGAGTTGGCTAAAATGCTGAGCTACAAGGATCGGGGAAGGTCAGCCCCGAGAGGCAGCATTGATCACAGCAATAAACAGGAAGGAGATAGAACTTTCTAAGGTCAGGGGAAGTCCAGGGACCAGGGCAGCAGCCCAGTACCGAGTTCAGATCTACGGTGCCTATGTCATCACTACGTGAGGTGCCCCGTAAAGTAGAACAGGTTCTTCAATGAACCGCCTGGCAGAGGGTGGCACACCCAGGTCCACTGCAGGGGTCCTGTCTCTGCACATGGAGGTTTGGGGCGGTTTGGGGCCCAGAGGTTCCATGGGGAAGGGCTGTCCTGTGTTCAGGACGCCGGCGGCATCCCGGGCCTCTGCTCCCCAGGTTGAAGCAGCCACACCCCAGCTGCCCTCTCTAGTCAATCAGACACGTCTCCAGACAGCAGCAGCCGCTGCTCAAGCAGGAATAAGTAAGAATTCTCCATGGGCCTTGTCTTTCAAACCAACAGGTGATTTTAAAGGAAGGCCTGAGCATACCCTCAGTCCTGAGCTGCATGTCTATAAACTCAGCTGTCCCAGGGCCTTTGCACTGGCTTTCCCTGTGGAAGGCTGAACCCAGGCAAATCCTACTCGCCGTCATGTCTCCTCTTAAGGCCTTAACTGTCAGCTCTCTAGGACCCCCAGGCGTGAGCGTGCCGGGGATTCCCACTGCATGCGTCTCTGCACCTGTCTCCTCGCTTTCTAGCAGCTATCACAGTTGCAGTTAAGCAATATTCCTGCCATTATTACTTAGTGAGTCCTCCATTCCAGCAGGAACCAACCTTGTTGGTTGGGGCCTCCACAGCCCTCAGAGAACTACCCTAGACGCCTAGACTCAGTTTGTACTAAAAAGCACATGAGTGGCCCGCTGTGGGACTTAATGACTAATAGGAAGTCACTCTGCACTTTACAAGCATTTAAAGTGGAATGACAAGGGCTATGGCAGCAAGGGACTCTCAGCCGCAGGGCTGTGGCTCTGGCAGTGCGGCCTCCATGCCTGAGGCCTGGCTTCAACCTCAGCACCACAAGCAAAGGATCCGAAGGCAAAAGCATAACTGTGAGTGTCCTTCAAATGTGCATTTCCCCTCAGGTCAACAACACATCCACAGGAAGGCCGCGGAGGGGCCGAGGAGCCAAGTCAACACCCGGGAAAGCAGGCGGCAGCAGAGGACATCTTTCTGGGTTTTGACCTCCTTATAAGCATTTTTAAACATTTTTAGGAGTGCCGGGATTGAACCAGGAGGCCTATCAGCTGAGCCCATCCCCAGCCTTTGAATATCTCATTTACAGACAGGATCCCACTGAGTTGCTTAGGGCCTCGCTCAATTGCTGAGGCTGGCTTTGAACTCGTGATCCTCCTGCCTCAGCCTCCGGGCCTTGGAAGCATTTTTGTCGCCTGTTTTGTTCTAACACCGTTTACTCCCCATATGACATCACTCCCCCCGAAGGTGGTGTGTCCAAATACTCTTAATTCCTCACAGGGCCCCGCTCCCGGGCCTTCGGTGGCCTTTGGAACTGTACGTGAGACCCAGAGGCAGTTTTTAGGGACAGGGCCCGTGCTGTCCACACGATTCTCAAAGGCGCCGTTTCCAACTGACCCCTTCACGTCTCCGTCAGGTTCTAAGTCCTCCAGGGACATTCCAGGGCCTCTGGCTCGCCCTGCAGGGGGAGGGGAATGAGGGTGCGTTACCGATTTCCTCTCCTGCTTCAGCTCCTGCACGAAGCGCGCCAGGTCCACGGTGATCTGCGACGTCATGTTCTCCGAGATGACCTCGTGCTGCCCCGCGTAGTCGTTCATCTCGTTCAGGGTGGAAAGAAAGGCCTTGCACGACGTGTACCTAGGGGACAGAGTCGGGCTCCTCACACAGGGCCACCCGGTCTCCCGCTGCTTCCCGCAGGGGAGGCGGTAATTAACGTCAGGTTAATTGTCCTGACCTCCCAGAGGAGCTCGACGATTCATTACACATCGGCGGCTCTCGCCAAAACGGCTCAGAATTAATCGGCAGCAGACGCTGAGACCCGCTGCCCTGGGTGGGCCAGAGCGGCTGGTCAAGGCTCAGTGTGGACACGGTGCCCAGAGTGCTGCGGCACACCGCCCGGACGTGACGGATGCGACGGTCAGAATCAGAGGCAGTGCCTTCCGTCAGTCCACAGCTGAGCTGAGCTGGGCGCGGGGGTGACACTTACAATGCCAGCAGCTCCAGGGGCTGAGACAGAGGGTCACAAGTTCAAGGCCAGCCCCAGCAACTGAGCAAGGCTCTGTCTCAAGATAAAGATGCTGAGGACGCAGCTCAGCGATCAGGCACCCTGGGTTCAACGCCTAGTCCTGGGGGTGGGGGAGCCTCCTTGGGGCTGAGAGGGCCAGGTTTCTCGGAGGATGACTAGCTGACAGGAAGTCCTGACATCACAAACCCAAGCCCAACTCCAGGATGTACGCGGCCCATACTTCCTGCACGTGCTTAGACTCTGCCCCCAAACCTGTCCTCGTTGCCTCAACTGAAACAATCTGGAGGAGCCAGTTCCGGTGGCTCAGTGTGAAACAAAGTCAGCTACATCATGTTCTTATCGTTCTCCCCAATTTAAAAACAGACTCAGACAGGAAGATGGAGTCGGCTCGGTCTCATGGACGTGTGTCCCCTCTGCCGTCTAAATGCCGCCCACCGTCATCAGCCCACATACTTGTATTCCTCCTCCTCCTTCGAGTTCTTCTTGGGTTGGTATTTCTTCGAAAGATTCCTGGAACAAAAATGCAGACACGTCACCTAGGTAGAAGGGCAACGGAGACATCAGGGCTGACACATGACACGCTCAAAGTCTGGGAAAAAAAAAATCACAGGTGTCCACGGATGAAACCTGTCACTTCCACCATTTTTTCAGCACCTGCGTCAAAGAGACACTCGCGAGAAGCAGCAGATAGACAAGAGCAGGGACTTACCAGCGACCGCCTGCCTGGACACCTGGACAGCGCCGCCTGCCTGTGGACCCCGACAGCACGGCCCTCCCTCGTGTGCAGGGGCCTGCGTCTGCAGCACCGAGCTGAGGGACGTTTTCCTTACCAGGCCAGCATTTCCTCAGGGTCATCCCAAGTCCAGACTGTGCCACATGTTTAAATCAAACACCAAAGTCCACGCCGTGCGTCCGCCCCCCAGGCCCCCAGTGGAAAGCCCCTGCTAAGACACTCACCTGGACAGCCTCCCAGCTGCCTCCGTGGGCACTGAGCAAGGCCAGCCCACGTCCCCCAGCGTCCCTGCCCGTCCTAGCGCCCGGCGGGAAGCCCAAATGCTTCCGTCTGTCTGTATTCCGCAGCTTAAGCAAACCCACAGAGAGCAGAACCCTCCCTCTGGTTTTGGGGCTGCCTCTCCTGGCCCGGCTTGGGCTCTCGGAGGGGAGCAAAGGCCTGGGGGGCCTCCTCCTTTCCCACGTCTGCTGCTGCCTGGCCTCCGGCCTCGTCTCCCCCGGCCCTTCCTCTCTCATAGAAGTAACTTTGTGATTTCACACTCTTATTTTTTCCATTTCCTCCAAATCTACAGATTGGCCTAAAAAAATATAACACATGTACCACTTTGATCCCGGTACATTTTATATACAAGATCAATCGAGTCTATGTAAACTTGCAACATGGAAAGAACTTTTTTCTTTTTTTCTTTTTGATACTGGGGATTGAACCTAGGGTCACTCGATCACTGAGGTACATCTCCAGCCCTTTTAATGTTGACAAGGGGTTTCAGCCCCAGCTGCCCTCAAACTTGTGATCCTCCTGCCTCAGCCTCCTGAGTCACGGGGAATGGAAGTGTGGGCCGCCACGCCCAGGTGATATTTTCTTACTTATTTATACAAACAGGCACTGAACCCAGGGGTGCTCTGACTCTGATCCACATCCCTGGCCCTTTTATATTCTGAGACAGTGTCTTGCTGAGGCTGACCTTGAACTTGCAATCCTCCAGCCTCAGTGTCTAGAGTCCCTGGGATTACAGGTGTCACCACTGTGCCCAGTCTATACTTTCTTTTCTTTTTTTGTGGTGCTGGAGATCGAACCCAGAGCCTTGTGCACGCAAGACAAGCACTTTACCAACTGAACTGTGTCCTCAGCCCCTGTGCTTTTATTTAAAGACATGGTCTCACTAAGTTGCTTAGGGTCTCGATAAGTCGCTGAGGCTGGCCTTGACCTGCAATCCTCCTGCCTCAATCTCCTGAGTCCCTGGGATTATGGGAGTGTACCAATTTGCCCCACTCTGGAATTTTAAAAAAGACACAATCATTGACACAATAAGCAACTTAGTGATACCATGTCTTTAAATGAAAAGGGCTGGGGGTATGGCTCAGGTTAGGTGCCCCTGTGTCTTCCATGTTGTAATCTTACAGACTCAAGGGAGTCACTTGTAAAGATGAATGATGTTCCACGTCTTCTTCCTCTAGTAGTCGGCCTCGTGGTTTGCCTGGGGGGGGTCCATTTGTCCTCCAGCTGCACTTGAAGGCTGGTTATGCCCGTGCCCTGGGCCACACTTCTCCGCTGTTCCTTGGGGACAGGAAGGACATCACCCAGGGCTTGGCGGGTGTCTGGGGGTGCTTTTCCTGTCCCAACAGTGTTGCTTCCTTGGCCCTTGGTGGAAAAACCCAGCGCAGCACTGTCCTCGCCCATCCCTGGTGACGGCTTCCTGCTGGCTCTCGGCGGCCCCCGTCTGCGCTGGCTCCAGGGAACTTCCTTGTCAGGGCTGACCGCCTTCCTGTCCGGCTGCTGGTGGCAGACGGGAGAGCTGCAGGTGACACCTTCCTCAGAGTCCCCTCCTGCAGGTCTCTTCTGTTCCTGGTTTTGTCAGTTGTGTTCACACCACGGTCCCCTTGAGCCTGTCCCTCACCTAACTCGGTGACAACTGCTTTATGTGTGAGTTCCACAGTGGGATGTCGGGGTCCTCGGTCCCCTTTGGGTCTCTCCCGTGGGGGGGCTCCGTGCTGCCCCCGTCACTGTGCAGAGCACTCCCAGGCCTGGCTCTGCTTACTCTCGTGCTTTCTTCCCGGCTGGCTTTGCGGCCTCCACTGCTTCCTTTCTGTCCCCTGTGGCGGGCCGAGTGGCCTTGCTGAGTGGCCTTGCCGTGTCTGACCGGGCTGCGGGATTCCCGAGTCCCACCTGGACAGACCCTGACAGCGTAGGAGCCGGCAGGTGGCTCCCTGTGCGTCCCCTGTGAAGCCCACACGGTGACCCCCGATGCCTGAGGTGGGTGAGGAGGTCTGGCTGGTGAGGGTGTCACAGAGGCACCCCGTTTGGTGACGGTGCCTGTGGGTGCCCCGCGCTTCCTCTCCCTGCTCTGGGCCGTGGCTCCTTCCCGAGGTCCCCCCAAGGCCGAGGGCCCTGGGCTCTGTGTGCTGGGAGCTGGGGACAGGCGGTCAGGGAGGGGTGGACAGGCCCTGGCCCAGCCTCCGGGCCTCCGTCTCTGGAACCCCTCGCAGGCCCCTTGGTGGTGACCCCACTAGGCAAAGGAGTTTCGGGGCCGTGGACGTCCTAGTTCGGGTGATTCAGGGCGTTCAGCCTGGACGTGGGGCATGGAGAGTGGACGCTGATGTCTGCCTCGGGAGTCTTCCTGCCACCATTTCCTGAGTGTGGCCCTCGGTGGCTTCTGTCTGAACTGATTCAGGACTCGCTTCCCTTCCTGTGGCTGAGGGTGGGGTCAGCGTCCTCTCTGGCTGCCCCAGCACCTCCTGTCCCTCTCCCGGGCTCCCTGCCTAAGGGACTTTCTTCATTTGCTTGATTTTCTGCGGCTGAGACTCTCCTGGCTTCTCTTTTCGCCCCTTCTTGTTGGGACACACCATCTTCTGATCGGATGTCTTTTGCCATCTTTTTTTTTTTTTAATATGTGTTTAGATGTCGCTGGACCTTTATTCTATTCATCTATTTATACGTGGTGCTGAGATTCGAACCCAGGGCCTCACACACGCCAGGCACGTGCTCTGCCACTGAGCCCCGGCCCGGCCCTCTTTTGCCATCTTTATCCAGAAATTTTGTGGTGAGTTTTTAAAACATAAACAAAAGGGAGGAAAAAAACAAAACAAAACAGAAACATTCCTGGCCCCACCCGGGACCTTCTGTTTCAGAGGGTCTGGGACGGGCTCAAGGATCTCATTCTAATAAGAACCTCCTCGTGGTCTTTGGGATCACCCAGATCTGCATCCGGCCCCTGGTGAAGAGTGGGTGTGATGTGTGTGCTCCTCTTCCCCATCATCAGTCCCCTAGACGGCGCCTGAGTGCGGGAGCGCCCAGGCTCCTCAGGCAGACCCCTACATTCAAGGATGATCGGG